CCAATGATTCCCAAACACCACAAACTGTTAGCACAATAATCATTTGGGAAACTTTTTTAAAACACACACTGTTCCGAGCCCTACACCTTGGGATTATAATCACTTAAATATGGGGAAGAACCCTGGAATCTGTGTTTCTAAACCATTTCCCAAATATCAAAATAACAGAATAACTTTTGAGATGACTTAGATATTCACTTGTGTGAAGCTGGGAAACTAGGTCATTTGATCTCCTGCAGCCTCTCACAGCAAAATTGTTATAAAACTGGTAACAGAGTAAGCGTTTGGCATCCTTTGGATCATATTCCATAGTTTAACCCACAAATCCAGTTTGGGTGAGACAGCGTAAGACCACACAAGGTTTGCTAAGTCACTACCTAATGGTGACTCTTTCCAAACCACATCATCAATGACAGCCTCCACTAGGCAGCACAATACTAACCGTGACTATAGAATTAGTACCATCAATTTCATAACATGAATGGATGTTGAGGAAGTGGCCTTTGGTGGCATTTAAGGTAGAAAGACTAATGTTTCTTTTTGCTGCCTCCTTTCTCCTTCGTAATGTTCTGGGTCTCTTAAGTAAGTTATAACGAGAATTTACAATGGCACATTTAAAGAGAATCCTAAGATTACACAGACTGGATAAATACAAAAGGACGCAATGGTTGTTTACACTCAGTTTGTTAGAAAAAAAGTGAGAAATTAGGAAGTGACTTGAATATTTATAGGAAGCTGAAGGATTCCTTCATATCTCTAAATTACAGTATAAAAATACACTCTGCAATGACATTGCTCACACATAATTAAAGTGTGGAACGATGTTCTAATTAGAGGATAAGTTAGAAATACAAATAAGGAAACTGGTGAAAACCAAACTAGGTAAATACAAATCTGATGTGAGAGGGTGGCTCAAGAATCTTCCTTTTCCTCTGCAGGAGACTAAAGGGATTTTTTTGGAGAACGGGACTAGCATTATTCAAGAGTCCAGGAGAAAAACCACTTGATGTCTTGATGAAGGGCAAAAAATAACCCTAGTTTAACTAGACAACTAGACCTACCAAGTAGTAGGGCTTAAATATACTTCTCTTCTTTTTTTTTAAAGACTTTTAAAGACTAATTGACTTTAAGTCAATGCTTTTAATAAAAAATGATTATTCACAAAGGAGTTCCCAATTTATAGTTTTCTTTAAGTATTCTATGCTTTGCCTTTTTCAGTGATGGAAATGCATACTAAATGTCTTTTACAGGTCAAGCACTGGAAAATATACAGACGAGTATCTTTTCTCCCCTTGAGGAAGTATGCATGTATGAATTACATGACCACAATCCATTTCCTTGTGTGAGCAGAACACACTCAGGGTTACATTAAAATGTAAGAGTGGCACCACTAATTCAGCATGTAAATATTAATCCTAAAATAAAGATGTACAAGTTAGAATATTTAGATAATCGTGAAGTTCTTAAAAATATTTTTAATAAATTTTGCCTTTCACATTCTCAAATAGTATCACTCTACACATTCTCCTTACAAGTAAATAATCTCTACACATTCTCCAAGTAAATAAGACAAACTAAATTAACTGTTTTTAGAGAGAGAATCAATATCAAAACTTCTTGAAAGAGACTTTACAATTTAAAATTTTATTTTGAAGTCATGCAAAAGTAGATGATCCCAAATCATAACTTTCTGATAAATCAGAAACAAACTCTATAAAATATTTCAACTCTTCTTCCTGAAGTTGATCAAAACATAATGAAATTAATAAACTATCATCACAGATACTGTTGTTCCCCTGACAAACTGTGAATTTTGAACACTTCAGACTTTGATCTCGAAATCCCTGGCAGAGGAAATTCCAGATGTCACACTGAAAAGAGTTTGCAGAAATGGGGACCTAATGATGCTCTGGAACACTCAGTGATGGGAAAATACATCTAGGCAACCAAGAAAGGAACCAAGCTCCAACTCGTTGTCAAAAGTTCTGGGGACGATAAAGGATTCTCAAGTGAAGGATATCTCAGACAAGGAATAGAGAATATTCAGAGCTAAAGAATGACAAAACTGAAACTCTGTCAAATTGATGGGGCATAATCACCTATTCAAACATTCTCAAAGAGATGGACAAACAAAAAAGGCAGTTCTATAGACAAATATTCGTTAACTGTTCACCTCACCTTTCATTTTGTGAATCTGACTTAAAATGAAAAACTAAAAAACAAATATCCTAAAATAAATGGTACTTACGCCCAAAAGTCTTCAACAGTATCAAACTTAGAAATCAGCCGAAGGTTTGCTTGCCAAGTTTTGCTTTTATCATTTTTAAAAAACCAGAGCGCCCATCTAAAAATAAAAGGTCAGTATCAAAAAATGGTAGTTGT